GTTTGTTTTAGTCCTTCGTTTCCAACAGTGACGGATCGTTGTGGGCGGGGCCACCCAGGACCGTATTATCTACTTCCTTGTTCTTTCAAAATAATGGTAGAAACAGACGCGTGGATTGTTTAATTAAAAAGAGGGACGATGATTTAACCGGGCAAACGTCACATCAGCATAATTACTAAACAGAAGGCTGGATTGATAAAACTACAGTCTTTGAATGTGAAACTACATAATCTTCGATATTCTGTTCATATTTTTTGAGGGGAATTAGGTGTTCTGTCAAAAAAAGCACCACATCTGGAAGATAATCTGTCGGCGTGTCGCTCCTGATGTGACGTTAATTCTTCAGCTTTTCTCTTTTCACTGAACTTTTACCTTTACGTCGCCATCAGCTTCAGATTGCACGCTTAATCCATCAGATGTTGAGTTTCCTCACAGGGATTAGAGCCATTTGAAGTGCTTCACTTCATATTAGCTGGTAGGTTGTTGGTCTGGTCAGAATTAATCTGTTTGAACAAACCGAGCTCCATCAGAGATTGAACAACATTTGAGATATTAAAGCTTCACTGAACCCCACTTCAAACGAGCTGAACTATCCCTTTAAGTTTTATTTATACAGGATTATTAGGTCAGTTTATTTCTGTTTGGGTCGATAAATCAAGAAAACCAAATGATTTTTATTCATCTGGACTTCAGCGTTTTCGTTTTAGCGTTCAAAAGTCTTCATCCAGACCCCGTTTCTTTTAATTCCCGTCCAAGGAGCCAGATTATCTGTAATCTGACCTGAAACAGGGTGAAAATAAAAACCAGAACACGTTAAAGTCTAAAAACGGCTGAATAAACTTTTTATTTACAAATCTGCATCGAGATCGTACTGATAACTCCCGAGTTAAAAGCTGTCATGAAACGGCCACAGCAGCAGATAATCTGACGGCGCCAGAGACAGATTATTTCTACAGAAAAGGGAAAACTGTGGTTGGTATTCTTGAACATTTACAGACTTGTCATCGCCTTTTTTTCTGTTTGGGAACAAACAGGTTGGATGATTTATGCGTCGATCCTTTAGAGCGACTCACCGACATGAACGAGGTCAGGGCTGTTCAAGCGGCGGCCCGGGGGCCAGATCAGGCCCGCAGGGGAGCTCAGTTGGGCCCAACGGTGTCATTTGAAGTAAAACCAGACTTTAATCCATAAACTAAATGACCGTAACTGCTGGATGTGTGGCCCCTGAGCAGTTTGGTTGAAGAGCTGCAGATGATTCACCTGCTCAGCGAGAAGTTTAGGAGCTGGTCCTGAGGACATACTCAGCAGCTCAGTCACGTGCATGTGACTGGGCTTACGTGCACGTCGTGTTGAAGTCGTTTAAAGGAGAGTTTGAACGGCGAGCCTCCTCCAGATTACAGATTATTTCTGTTCAGGGAATCGTTTTGTGACTTCAGGAGACCCCCCGAGGCTCCGCTCGTATTGACAACGGATCGTTCACTCCCCTCGTGCACTCGTGCACGCTCTTTTCTCCGTTCTGTTACTGGATGTGACGTTCTACTGGCTTCTTGGTTTTGTTTGCACAGACGTTAAACTTTAGGTCGGCGCCGCAGCTTCCTGAGGGATTTGTAAGAGAATCGATCTTTTCTACACAAACGTTTCTTCAGATTTCTGCAGTTTATTCTGAATAAATAATTTGTCAGGATTTAACGAACCTGCCGTCTGTTTTCATTCAGCTCAAATCTGAAACTGGAATTAAATGTCCTGCGAGAATGCCTATCACCCGCCACCTTTCAGTCCAGAGCTTTAAACTCCAGTCATCTTCCTGACTCGTCATCAGTTCCTTGTTGGGGATGACTCTCAGCTACTACCACACTGAGCTTCGTAGTGGAGAGGAGTGTCTGAATGGATCATAAAACTTTGCAGTCTAAATGTTGTGACAACCGTTTCTCTGGACTGGAGTAGGAAACCTAAATGTTTTATTCTTCCTGTAGTTTTATTTATATATATATATATACATATATATATAAAAATGTCGTCAGAAGTTGCAGTGCATTCTGGGAAATGATGTAAACCGGTTTCTTCAGTACGAACTCCATTCAGCTTGAATGTTAAATTTAGAAATGATCTGATATTCAGCCTTTCAGTTTGAACCAATGACAGAGAGGAGAACGCAGAAATGTCCCAAAGCCTTTAAATAAATGTCTTCAGAGTGTTGAGCTCCCAGCTTGGACCCTCCTGGACCCTCCTGGACCCGGTCCACCCCCCGTCTGCCTTCAGTCTGAGATCGTGAAGCGTCCCGTGAAGTTCCAGTCGTTTGCTACAACGTTTGATG